GTCCATATCGGCGGGTGGGTCGGCAGCCGGTGCCAGAAATGGGTGGCGGCCGGGGACAAAGGCGGGTGGGGGTCTGACAGGCGGCGGTAGGAGAGCAATGGGCGACGGTCAGGCTGGCAGCAACAGGCAATGGGCGATGGACGACGATCGGGATGTGATTGAGAGCGACGACCAACGGTGGGTGGTACGCAACAAAGGCTGGCAGCGAAAGCTGTTGGCCGCATAACAGACGACTGGCAACAGGAGCACAGCCAATAGCATTTTACATTAATGAATGGTGTAAATCTAAAATTCAGCCAAATATGTTCAATTCTAATTCAGTCAAAATGAACTACAATGTAAATTTCCAATACATTCAAATTTTATATTGTATTTGAAATTCTTCATACCAAACACTTAATTTCCTAAACTCTATATAAAAGAATTATAGTGCACTATAAATCCTTCCAACCAAACATCCCCTTAATAGAATTTTGAAATCTGAATAAAGAAACAATAACAGCAATAAGCCATTATCCGACTAAGTGGGGTGGGCTACATGAAACTTTTTTCTCTATTGTGTCTTATTGAGAGTCATATTGTCATTTAATTCTACTAAATTAAGATCATTTTTTATATAACATGTCCTGCCTCTATCTTTATTAACATAATTCGAATCTAAAACAGTTACTCTCCTAACCGGATCCTCACATCGTCGACATTTAATGTGATCAAACCATCCAAGTCGGCCCTCTCTAATCTCGTGTGTCAATGGAGCTACACCAACCCTTCATGGATATATTCATTTTGCATTTTGTCAACAAGTGTAGCCACTCATCCACATGAGCATTCTCATCTCAGCAACACTTTTAACTCAGTTTTATGCTTTCCTTTATAGGCCAACATTATGCGCCATAAAGCACTGCACGTCTCACCCCATCTTATAAAATTTTCCTTTAAGTATATGCGGTACTTTTCTATCACACAATAGGCTCGATGTATTTATCCATTTCAACCATCCAGCTTGAATTCTACTAGTTGCATCCCCGTCTATATTACCATCACTTTGAACAAAAGGCAAGAGATATCTAAAATGTTCACTCCTTTTAATGATTTGATTACCCATTGTTACAACTCTACCACTGAATCTACTGCTACTAAAATTACATTTCATGTATTCAATTATAGATATACTCAAACGAAGGACTTTAGACTAAATCCGAATAAAGAAAGACACTCTAAGATATTTTTTAGAAAAAAGTGAATAGATAAACCTAAATATAAACTTCTATAGCAGATAAGATCAACTCTTTCTACAATACTAGATCAGTTTCTCAGTGATGATGAGACCTTAAAGAGTAAATAATACTTTGTTATTTATTGATAAGGTTTTAGTTTTTAGTCAAAACATGTTTTTAATTAAAACTGAACCATTAATCCTATAATCCAAATAAATCATACTTAATATTTAGACCAAAAAGCATATTATCCTTTAATAAACCGAAACAAAACAACCAAATATGTTGGTTCAAAACAATTTTTCAGCCTCAGTAAAAACTAATGCACACCTCTATCAACATGAAAATTACACACTACAAATTGAAATATAGAATAATTTGTGGAGATACATAAAGAGGGGATTTGGCTATTAAAAACAATATTCTCCATTTCAATTATATGCTACAATGCAGGTAATAACAGCAGGTGATTTTTTTTAAGATTACCTTGTCTATAAATAAGATTTTGATTCATTTGTTTGCTCAATCAATACATACAAAACTTGTTCAAAAAGCACCCTACAAAATGTGAACAAAACTGTTAATTAGAGATTTAGCGGAACTTCATGCTTGTCATGACTGCAAAAATTGAATCTGTGCATGAGTGCTTAACAGAGTCTTGATCATTTATGGCTTTGAAACCATCAATTCTAAAAATCTTACTTTTAATTAATAAGAAAATACAATCAGAATAATGTACAAGCTTATAATTAAATCAGACAAAACCACGTACAAGATTGTTGCAGATCAATAAAGAGGTTCAACAGGAACTGTAGAAATATAATGAATCAGGAAACACATTCTAATGCTTCAGGAGAAAGCAGATTAAGGAAGTATGCTGCATTAAGAGAAGAAAAGCAGGCATAGCACAATTCTCAAAATAAATCATAAGTCACTGAAAGATGCAACCCATGATCTATAAACAGCAAAAGAATTAGAATCATAGGCTAGTCGAATCAGAAACAACTCGGTGAGAGTCCTAGTTCTACTAACAGACAAGGTCAAAAAAAAATAGCAGACTATCTTGACAGCCACTGAAACTCATCCATCTTCATATCCACCTGGAAACTTCACATTAGTTTGCACCCAAAAATCATGACGAACAAGAAACACAAAGAAATGCCTTCAAATTCAACCATTTTGATAATAATCACAGAAAGATGAATCAATCCACACCTTATTTTCACAGAGAATAAAAACATCCAAGTCAAGCAGCACTCTAACCATAAAAAAATAATAATAAATAAATAAACCAGCACGCTAACCACTGACAATCGAGTAAAATGAACTGTTGCAACATCCAATTGCAAAAATTTATCAAAAAAAGAGCCAAAGAAGCATAGGTGGATTCTTTGAAATAATGCAATCCAAACAAGAGTGATATGTAGTTCCTCAGAAAAGTCAAAGTGAGGAGACTATTTCATCATTCATATCAAATAGCCACTAGCATAATAAGATCATCGTGAAAAAATTTGGTGTAATATGCTTCGAATGATAGTCATATAATGATAAAATAATTAATTAGCACAACTGATAAGTCTCCAACCAAAGCTGAGTCTAACATAAATTTATGAATGATCTTTAGATTGGGGAGACCAAAAGAAAATTTACCCACAATAGAAAAAGATCTAAAATCTCATTTTTGGTGGAGACAAGCGCAAATTTGCCTTGAAAAGGGTTGTTAATGTTAAGGTGGCACAAAATCTTGCAGAATGCATAAGAGAAAATGATTAAATGAAGACCGCTAAAAACTAGACCTCTTCAACTACAATAAATTCAATATAAAAATCCAGAAGCACGAGCAGCAATAGAAACAAAATTCGAAGCACAACCAGCAAGAGGAGCCTCAGAGAAAATGAAATCTACGAGAACATGTGCATATGATTGGGAGTGACCAATGCTAGAGATAGTTGGTGTGTGAGTTGAGCAGGTAGATTAATTAAAAGGAAAAGCAAGCCCTATTGATCGAGATGCAAGTGATGCTCAAAGAAGTGAGAAACAATCAGCAAGTGAAAAAGTTGAGTGTCATCAGCAACGCAAATCCAAAATGCAGAATCTAAGAAGAGTTGGTGATCGAAATAAGAAGCTATCGCTAAGAGGGCAAACCCAAAGAAAACTAGTGAAAAAGGCAACAGCATGGTAATAGCAGGGAGCTCATGAAAACACAATGAGAGATCAAACGCATGACGTGCACAAATTGTTGCGAAGTGAGCTATGTGAAGGGGAGAGATACACTAAAGATTGCATGTGAAAGAGCTCATCGTGAGATGCAAGCACAAGCAAGAGGGGGATGCCACGAGAGAAAGTATGGAATGTCGCTATAGTGTGAAAATGAGCTTAATTCAAGTAGCCTCCAAATAATTGAGATTGCCTCAAAAATCATTCTTATACTTTACCTTAAGATCCATAGTATACCAATGATTTCAAATACCCTATTATGCGGGTCTACGGTTTGACATTTCCACCTTTCAATATGAAAACCAAGGAAAAACTAGCCCTAAGATAATTCACATGGGGATACTTATATAAAATAGTAGCGAAAGTGAACTGAATTTGAAATTACTTTAAAAGTAAGTAAGAAAATACTTCTTTCCATCTACTTTAGCGACATGTCTCTAATTCTACTCTATAAAAAATTTCTTGCGATACTCCGACAATCCTAAGGATCTCACTTGCAACCCTCTCCTTCAAGCCCTTGCACATCAAGCACATCCTTCTTCAAGAACCATATACATTCTTTTTTAAAGTGAACTTGAGCTCTATAATTAAACCAATGGGAACTCTTTTAGTTTGCCTTTCATAGTTTTAAAAAGGTTTATTATTGATGCTTTAATGGATTCATACTCGGTTTTGTCAAAAAAATTTCTAAAGCTTGGAAAGTTATAAAGAACATGAGGTGACAATGTTTTTTTCACATTAGTGATTGACCAATTTAAAAAGTTTAACTAATAAAAGTAATCCTAGATAAACCAACCAGCTGCGCCAATAGGTGAAGCATCTGGGCAGAACCGGCCACTGAGTAAACTAGGATGGTAAAGAAGGTGCAAGCTTCCTTCCATTTCAGCATCAAGTGTCAAACTCTCTTCAGCCAGATTCCTTGTATACTCATTCATTCCAATCCAATGTGATCCTACGCCATTCCCAAAACAAGGAAGTGCATTTCCTCCCCTAGATGCCAATCGAATCATTATCTCCGGACCAATTGGTTCTTTGAATATGTAAACTGGGCCAACCTCCGCAAATAAGGGGCATTGCCGCCTCCTTTGCTGCAAACCAGCCATTGTGGGAGGTGGATTTGTCCCAATGCATGAAAAAGCAAGAGGTTTTGATATTCTTGTGAGTTCAAATGGACGGCTCTCATACAAGTGTCCATCCACATACAATTTCAGCTCACTTTCTGCTTTACCCATCAAGCCCTGTTTGCTAGTGTGCTCCAAGCCAATAAAATACCAGCATTTGGGCCTAAAAGCATGAGTAAAATGTAAAGAAACCTTATTTCCCTTTCCGCCACCACTCTCCACCACCAAGAATTGGCCGTGGAAGTAAGCCTCAAAACCAAGGTTGTCTGATGATATGAAACTAAATAGTCTAGGCATATGGGTTGTCCCTTCCCCAGCAATTGCAGTTGCAGCAGCTGCTGCAGACATGGCAGAAGACTTGCCACACTTTGCAGCAGCGGCAGCAGCAATGGCAGCTGCAGCTGCTGCAGTGTTCAGGGTATCAGCAAAAGACTCAATATAAATCCAAGTAGCAAATGCAAATCCATTCGAAAAAGGCCACCGGCTCTCCCCAGGGCCAAGCAAACCAGAGCTCTCACCATCAAATTCAAAGGAAAATGCCGGACCTCTCATTTCTTCACTAAGCATGGCATTCTCTAATGTAAGCATCAACCGAGCTGCCCACTCAGTGTTAAGAGTTTTCTTAACTAAACCAAGCCATTGATTCAGATCAGCAACAGTCGCAGAATGCCCTGCAATTAACTGAATGCATTGGCACAATGAAGCACCGCCCCAAAAAAAATTATCGAACTCAAAAACCCGCTCTACAGACTCTAGGAGAGCTGAGAGCAAGCCACAGCTGGAGCACATTGCACGGTTTCGAGTGCATGCTTCCAAGATGGCAAGCAACCCCCTAACCATTCTAGATCTCGGAGATTCAGAGGTCCTCGAATCCCCTTCATAAGGAAGCCAGGGAATGAGTTTGGCAGCGATGATGGCTGCATGGGAATTGAGCATTATGCTAGGAGGATCACCAGAATTTCTTCCTCTGCTCTCATCGAAACCGTCAACTCCGCCCATCGTCGCAAGAAGCGCGTCCACCACTGATCTCGAGTTGCCCCCTTCCTTTGAAACAACGCCCTTAAGATCCTCCAGGGATGCACTATCACCGCTGATTGCTAAGTCAAGCAGACGCGCGAGCTTCGTGGGTACGTCGGGCATCAGGGGCTGTGTCAAAGTTCTTCTCAGAGATCCAATAGTAGAACTGCGCGATCCCTTGCTGACTATGGAAAAAATCTGATCGAATGGACGACGGCTGCGGTGGGAAGCCGGCGTTGCAGTAGGTGGAGCCACAGAAATAAAGGATTCCATACCCGACTCATCCAGAGTCAACTCGGAGGGAGGAGAATAAGCGGAATGATCACTGACTCCCGAAGAATGGTTCCGGCCATCATAAGAGACATGGAAGTCCGACGGCTGGAGACAGGACGATGACTGAGACGGCGATAGGCTCGAGGACATTACAGTGACTCCGGCGGATGACTCCGGCTCTGGCGTTAAAACTGCGTCTTCCAACCCTAAGTCTGGCTCGTTGAGAGAACAATTTCCGTCATCAGAAACAACGGAATCCGAATTCATATAAAGCAGCTCGTCATCGACCAAAGAAGAAGTGGGAGGCGTGAAGTCAGCAAAAGGTTCAATGGATTTCGATCCCGTCTCATCGCCGTTGGCCGACGAACTTGGGTTACTGATCTCGTAGATGGCATATTCCATTTCTCTAGCGACCGCAATGGAAGAATCCAAACCTGGATCATTGCCACCCGATGAAGAAGTGAGGTCCTCGGGACCGGTGGAGCCAATGTCCAACTCCGGGATGAAAACAGCACTACCGCCGGATGATGAAGTCGCCGTCGCACCTTCCAACAATGACGCAGGGACCTCCCGGGTAGTAGAGGAGGATCGGTAAAGCTTGGTGTGCTTTGGTGAATCGCCTTCCTCCATGGTTTTGGCCTAAAGGAGCAGGAAGACCAAACAGTGTATAAAATGGGAACCGGGCGACAGAACGAGGTGGTATAAGGCAGTTTGGCAAAAACGACCCCGAATAATCAAATATTAGCTGACATTTTGCTATTGTTGTTGGTTTGATTTACATACATACCAGTGTCGGTTTAGCTATAAATAAAATGTGTATTTTATTTTTTAAAAAATTAAAATAATAATATTTTAGATGTGATGTGAAAGATTTTGGAGATATAAATGCAAAAAGTAAGGTTAAGGTGTTAGAAGTGTAAATACATAGAAATTGGACAGTATTATTGTAAATGAGCTTCCTGATGCATTGTTGAGTTGAATTATACTTGATAAATAATTTATTAGTCTTCTCACATGGATGGAAAATGTAGTATTTTTGAAAATAATTAGATTTAACACTCTTAGTATCTCCCCCAATGTATACTAATAATTGGTTGCCCTTTATGGGCTTTTTTGGGAGTGTACAATTTGAAGTCATCATCAGGCTCATTATGTATCCTTCCAAATCAATTAAAATCGCTCGTCAAACTGATGTGAAGGATTGAAACATTAGCCACCACCTTCCCAAGATCTGATATGCTCGTTGAACTTGCCTACTGAGTTCGCCCCGACTAGAAATCATTGGAATGGACATGTAATCAAAGTATGAATCAACATTAAAAGGATTGATATAGGTTTTATCACCATTTATGAGTTGTCTGGCATCCATATCGCGATCTTTTCAACAAGACACCATTAAAAGAGTTTGTACCATACAACTCATAAGTTTATATTCTTTTTCCGTCATTAGGTATCCAAGGAAGTAAGACATAGACGGAGAGAACAATCGACCTATCAGTCTCTCTTGTATATCTTTTAGCATGCTTAATTTCCTTTACATTCATCACATAATCTTGAAAAATTTTGCACTTTAAAGGATGATATTTTCATATTTATCTTGCCGGTATAATGTGTAGAACACTTGGAGCAAAACAGAATTGAAAAAGAGCAAAAAGGAGCTGAATGGAGTAAACTTGGATTTCACATAACTGGCGCCTAGGCGCCGGATTTCGGGTGTCAAGGCGCTCCATTCAAGCGCCTTGACGCAAGCTTCTGAGCGCCAAGGCCCAAGAAATCTACATATCCAACTAAGAATGCGACACCTAGGAGCCAAGTTCTTTGCATCTAGCATGGTTGTTTTTTGTAGTTGCTAAATCGCAACTTTGGGAGTTATTTAATGGATTTTGACGCTTGGAGGAGGGACTTTTTGGTATTTTATAAGTCATGGAATTCTCTACGAAGGCCAAGGGGTCATAGATAGGAGTAAGAACTGTAGATTTTTACCTTTTTCTAGAGAGATTGGAGAGGAGAATTGAGTGAATCCTGTGAGGGAATTGTATCAGCATTGCAAGGAACAGTATGAGACTTTGTTGGAGGGATTTTCATCTCTTTTTTAGAAGAAAAAACTAAGTATTGTGTTCTTTATTGTCTTGTATTTGTTGTAAACACATTTAGTGGATTGTTTTAATTTAATGAAGTTTTATGATGTTTTAAACATGCTTTTTGAGTAGAATTCTTGCACTTTTCTCTTATGATAATTAGGTAGAAATTATAGGATGATGATTACCATAGAATTGATATTGTAATTTCAATGTGATGGTTTCTACTTCATGCTTAATTTACTTATCAATCTGATCAATTTGTATGTTAAAACTTATTGCAAACTCATAAAGATTCGGAAGGACTATACTTTATCAACTAGGAAGAACTGAATTAAACTTATGGGTGAAGAAAAAGTAGTCCATAGGACAATGCAAAAAGTTAAGGAAATAAGTTTTAAGGGGATTTAACTTGGGAGTTTCTAGGGTGACAGGAAGAAACACTTACTAAGCTAAACCAAACTTTGTTACACACTCAGAAGAGGGTAACTTAGATTCATGCTCCTACTGTCACTTGCCACATTAGATTCTTAGTATCTTATCCTACATTTCCTCTTATGCACTCACAAGAATTTCACCAAACCAATTAAATCTAAATAAGATCAATTTGAACTTAGCATTGTAATCTAGGATTAGCTGTTAGAAAACCACTCTTTATTGAACTTCCAAACTATGACCTGAAAGCAGTAAACTAGAACTTCACCTTTGGAATTAACTATCTCACTTCCTTATGAGATCGACATTCTGGACTCATTTCAGCCCAATATTATTGAAACGATATATATGCTTGCGTGAGAACCCTTAATGTGTAAGAATATCTAATTTTAAGGACTTAATCAATTTATCAAGTGGATCAAATTTCTAGTATAATTATCAGGACTTACATCATTGTGATACAACACGCTTGGGGTAGATCTTCTCTCCTCTTTCATGTCTCTTGCTGGTAAGATCTTTGATTATCTTCTTTGACCTACCAAGGGAAGATCAACAAGCAAAAATTCATTTGAGACCTAGAGAACACATTCATCCTCTCCTTTCACAGGACTCTTCCGTTTTGTGTGAACCAACAAGTACTCTACGTCCTAAAGGGATTAAACACCCAAATAATTCTAACTATCCACACAAACAACTCTAGGCCACCAAAATGATTGGTTAAATTGATTAATAGTAATTTAAGCTTGGTTTGCAGGTGATTAAACTGTCAAACCACATGTTCTCATTCTCTTCCTAAAGCTTATTTAAGCTAACAACGAAGATCCTTAGAGCTTATAATAGTTTTTGCACCTCCAATTAGGTTAAATCACTAGAAAGAAAATTCATGATCTAGCAACTATTTTTCCATGCATTGAGACCATACCAAGATAAAAATAGAGAGAGATGTTTGTTGTTCCTTGTCTATGAAAGATAATGGATCAATCACAATAGCCCTAATTAGTTATATAGGATGAGTTGTTAACCCTGGCAATGACCTTACTACTTTGATGTGTGGATCAAATGTAGACTTAGAGGCCAATCAAGAACACCTTAGAATAGCTCTCAAGCTTTTAAAATAAAAAAAATATATCTATATTATGTTCAAGCACCGCGCGTCTGAACACCCAACCTCTTCAGCACAAATTCACATGTATGATGATATGACATATTTTTCAGCATCCAGACATAATATTTTCTTCGTTAAAACACACCATATGAAATAATTTAGGTTCAGCATAAGGGGTAGAATATTTTTTATCAAGGCACATCAAAACAGTTGGCTTCAAAACTCTCATCACCAACCTTGAGCATGAACAAATAACAAAAAGATGAAATCATTGCTGTTATTTGTTATTTAAATTAGATCAAAGCATGTATTTTCCAGAAGAAAACGTTTATAAGAAAAATCAGCATATTTAATGAATTAAATATCTAAAGATTTTTCTGAACTCGTTGGACACATTCCTGACATCAAATTGAGCCTCATAAAATTTGCCTAAAGCATGATAATCATTCTGTGCTTCGTTTGGGACTTCTCTCTGCCAAATTTCATCATTTAAAAAGTTGATATGCGCTTGATTAGGCACATGTTTGAATGCATGTTGGATGAACAAATTTTCAACATCAAATGCGAGATCATTTGAGCTAAAATTATAGCCAAACTGTGATGCACACCCAATGACACAGCAAGTGATTCAATCTAAATTCAAATGAACTCATATTAAACACTTTAATAAGAAACTGAAAATTATTAATTAAAATATCAAATCATCTTCAAATTTGATATGTTTATAATCAAATCGAACATTTTCTCGAGAGTAATCTAATGAAATAAAAAAATCAATCAGTTTTGATATCATTAAGACGCTACATTGCCCATAAAATAATTTATATCAAATAACTTGACACGAACTATCCAATAGTGTTTGGATATATTCGCTATAAGTGTCTATAAACTTTTCAAATAAACTCTTAAATAGAATTTACCAATTTTTAAAAACCTATTATGAAAATAAAAAAAATAAATACACTATTGAAATTGCCTCTTTTTTTTAGTGAAATAGATAAATAAAAACAGAGAAATCCAACAAAAAAAATGTTTTGAAATTGCCTTCTTTTTTCCTCTTATCGCCATTAGTCGGTATCCTCTTTTTCAAGTGAAAAAAAGGACAAATTTACACCAAAAATGCGGAAAAAGAACTGCCAAGATACAAATACTTTAGGGTTTAACAGTACAGAGGAGGAACTGGAAAAAAAAAAAAAAAGCTTATTTTAATTCACAAAATGGATTATTTGTCAACCTCCATAGCCTGTGCTGCTTTAGCCTTCGCCAAGGCCGACAATCTGGTCTTCAGCTTTCTCTTCCCAACCTGAAACCCACCGGATTTTCTCTTTTTCTTCCTGTCACTCCCGTCAATCTGAAACCATGAAAATTATGACAAAATTTTGGCCTTTTAGGGGCTGTATATCCGCATATGCGTTCAGTATCGATGAAAGGAACATAGAATTTTAAGAAATATATATATATCAACAAAATCAACCAAGCAATATTACAAGATAGCAGCAGAATTCAGAAGGGGCCGTTCAGGAACACTTTTAATTTTTATTTTATTTTATTTTATTTATATTTTATTTTGAAATAAAACATGTTTGATGTGTTATAGCCAAGTCTGAATCATGATAAGCATGTTTGATGTGTTATCGCCGAGTACATCATGATTCAGACTTGGCTTGGTATAATTATAAGTTATCTATGTTTTTCTTGAACTTATGTTGAGCTTTCATATATTTGTTCAAGCTTGACTTGTTTAAATTTTTCATGTTTGAACTTGATTTGTTTATGGCAAGTGAATGAGTATTTAAAAGAGCTAAAATTCAAATGAGTATCTAGATTCAGGGATCCTTGCACGCCGCGATCTCATCGTTGTCGTTAAAGCTTGGACGCCTACCAACTTAAGGTTTCGTATTTTTGGGCGAAACCTGAAGACGCAAAACTGTGAGAGACCAGAGCGAAAATGAGGTTTACAGAGGTTTAAAGTTAGTTTTAATGGGCATTTCATACAAACCGCATAAGACTCGTGTATTTTCACATCTAAGACCAAAACTTTAATAAAATAAAGATATAATTAATAATTATATATTAATAAAATAAATATATAATTAATAATTAATCAAAAAATACTATTAATATAATAATATATTACTATTAAATCTATAATTAAATTTTATTTAAATAATATATCACAAATATATGAGATATCATTAAGTTTAATATCAAGTATTTAACAAGTTACTTGTTGAACAACAAATGAGTTTATTCGTGAACATAAATAAACAAGTTCGACTATGTTCATGCTTAGCTCAGTTAAGCTCCAAGCTTTTAAAATTTGTTCAAGCTTGTTTATTTTCTAATTTGAACGAACATGATCGAGCCTTAGCTAAGCCGAGTTCGAGTTGTTCATCGAGTGCATTAGTTCACTTACAGCCCTAGTTAGACCATACTTAGGGGTTGTTTGGTTAGGAGAATTTGTGGTTTACTGTAATTTTTTTTGTAGGAATTTTAGAAAATTATTTATTTGGTAGGAAGAATTGCAAATCCAATGTCGCCGCCAATCAACGTCATCAATTGTCGGTTGTCGTTGTCGTGACCTATCAATAATACCTTATATATTCTGAATTACATTATTTTCAATTAAATTCAAAATAATAATAATAATAATAATAATAATAATAATAATAATAATAATAATAATAATAATAATAATAATAATAATAATAATAATAATAATAATAATAATAATAATAATAATAATAATAATAATAATAATAATAATAGAGTTCTAAGTTTATTTTACAGTAAACCAAATAATTCTAAAGTGTTTCAGATACAATACATTTCTTCTCTATTGCATTCATTTTGTACTATATTATTTTTTCAGCAAAAAAAAATCATTTTTAAAAATACTCAAAATAATTTTTAGTATTTTAAATATTTTTAAAAGCAAAAAAATAAAATTGAACTTAACCAAACCGACGTGTTGATATTGTATCGGAAAAGAAATGGGAAACAAACGTTAAATTTTAATGAAACTTGGAATCCAAATGGACATCACTTTTTCAGACATTGCAATTAACGATTTAGTTTAGTTTTATCTAGTTCATGAATTACAATCAAGATTAAGCAGAAAGATGAAGTATTGAACATATTAATTACACCATTTAGCATATTATTTTTAAAAAGTATTCAGTTCATCATTATTTATCTCTCTTCTGATGGAAACAGAGTATCAAATTTACAAGTTAGGGTTCAAAAGTCTTTCGGAATCTATAAAGTATTTACCATGAATGTCATCTTTACCACCATTCAAAGACTCTTGGACAATTCCCTAGACATTTTATAAAATTATTTTCAGAATAATACCTACATCATTTTCTACTTTGTTGTATCGCTCAGTGAGCATCTGCATAAATTATGTGCTGCTACAAAAAAATAAATTGTCATAGATAATGACCTTTCAAAATCTAGTACTGTTATTCATGAACAACAAAGAGAATTAATGAAAGTGATTATGCTTTATTGAGCATTCACCTTGAACCCCTTCAAGCAACATATATAAAATAATATATGATTATGCCTCCAAAATACACAAAATAATTAGAAAGATTAAGTTGTAATGAATTTGCATTGTTGTGCCTCTTGTCATGCCCATCAGCTCAATATTGTCCCATGAAGGTAATTGTGCTTATTGCAGCTTCACCTTAAACGACTTACAAGCAATAAATATAAAATCAAAAATGCTAAAGCATCCAGAAGACAGAAAATTATAAAAAAATTCGGGTAAAATCATGCCTATCAGTTCAACATTCAATCTGAATGATATATTTTTGTACCATGGTGCACTCGAACTTCGAATGCTTCATCAAGTTGTACTAAAACTTTTTTTCCAAAAATGGTCAAGTTGTATTTGTTACCATCAATTCGCATCATTAGAAGTTGAATAAATAATCACTAATGAAGTGATAATAAGACCTTTTAACTAAAAAAAAATCTATCCGCCACAAAATAATTCCCAACTACCTCATGAAAAGCACCAAAAAATCTCTTTTGAATTCTTATACAATTACATCACCAATACTCTCCATGCTAAAGCTTCATCGAATCCAAAAAAACTATCTGCTGGTTCTGGTAGCATCATCACAATGACATCACTACTAATACATTTAGAATTAAATAGTCATAAAATTAAGGGTCTGTTTGGCGCAGCTTATTACTGCGTCCAGCGTTTTCGTAACGCCATGGTGGCGTTTGTTTAACGCGTTGGGGCCGGCGGTCGGGTAAAGCGCATTAAGGTTTGTGTTATTATCTGCTCGATCATTCGCCGCACCCAATGCCCCGTGTTCCATGTTTAGGCTTAGCTTATGACCCCTCAACCCCTTGATCTCGTCTCCTCTGTTGTTGCCCTAGCTCTTTGATCAACTTCCCTGTTCTCTGCTCTCGATATCGTGCACCCCTCCCCTCTCCCATTTCTCGTTCGTTGGGTGGTGGATTGAAATGTATTGTTTCTTGTCGCCCCCTCCTCGCATTTTCTTGAAAGTTTTATGAGAGGTTTGTTTCTAGATCAAAAGTAATTCGAGAGTTCTACATATGTATGAAGAAGGCAGCGGTATATTTTGTCACAGATCTATGATTTATTTTTTTTTTTTCCTATCTCCAGTAAATGAAATTGATTTTTCATGGATTTTGTGCTCCATCTGAATAGCCAGTTGGTGGAAGCCATAAGATTCATGAGAAATTATAATTGCTTTCTACTGATACAAGCGTCCCCTATGTCCAGTAAAGGAATTGATTTTTTATGGGTTTTGTGCTACCTCTGATGAGGTAGATGGATGAGTCATTTGAATCAATGGATTCTTCTGGATGGCCTTTTATGTTATTCAACACATTGATTTGGTTACCAACAGCCCCTGTTATTCAACACCTGTAACTTCTTCTTATTATATTTGGTGCTAGAGGATTGGTTATCCTATTACGAACATATATATCATATGCTTCCAATGGTGAATGATGGATTGAACTGGAACTTATCCATTCACTTATCACAATTAGATTAAACGAATAGCTGACTTCAAAACTTTTTTTAGAGACATATAGATTAGTTTGAGTTTTGTGTTGAGGAAGAAAATGACCTTGCTCAACGCAGGCCCTTCTTTTTGAGATCTCTTGCTTGGATGGTGAATGGTGAGTCAGCTCTTGCTTGGATGGTGAGTCAGTTTTCATTTATGGGACAATTGGTTGCATACATACTGCAAAGTTCTTATGTACTAACAAATCTAACACCTAAACATTCATATTCACACGCATACCACTCAAATTATAGTGAAATTTTTGGTACTATCTACTAAAACATAGCTTTGTTGCTATGTTTGGTTATGTTTGAAAATTTTATTTCCTGTTAAGGCCATGTTTCTTTCCTATAGAGTGCAAAAGTTTTTCTTGTGAAGTTTCTCTACTGGGATGGTTGATCATTTTTGTTTTAGGGGGCATTTACGTACATATCACATAAGTCTCATGTATTTACAAATCTTACACCTAAACATGCATAATGACATGCATACCACTCATACTTCGTGCACTAGAAGGTGCGGCTAGTAAAAATATCAAAGCAGCGATGTTTGATAAGTTAGTACATGAGATTTCTAAATGGCCATATATGAAATTTCTAAAGAAATTGATGATGGTTGTGGATGTTAATTTATGATTGTTGTGGAAGTAATGTGGATGAAGTTGGGCTCAAACCATACATTTTTCACCATTGATAAGGTTTTTTTTTTCCTAACATGAAAATATGAAGCAAGTACTTATTTTCCTTTGTTCCTTATAGTTCCAACATGTCTAAGGAGCCTGAAGGGGGTCCGTCAGCTATGTGGGATAAAGAATTAACAAATATTTTTTGTAATTTATGTATTAAAAAAATAGAACTGAGAAATAGACCGACCACGCATTTTAACAAAGAATGTTGGCAAAATATTGTTAAGAGATTCAAAGAATTGACTGACAAGGATTACGACAAACTAAAATTCAAAAACAAGGAACCAATTGAAGAAGGAATGAAAAATTTGAAAGGAGCTGAAACATGGATCTACCGGGTTGGGTTGAGATACCATTAAACGAACAATTGATGCTCCAGATGATTGGTGGGTTGAGAAATTAGAGGTAATTTTCTAACTAATCTCTCAATTTTTTACTTCTCATATTGTTTTGGTTTAGAAACTAATCTCTCTAAATACAATGTTACAAGCAATGACGTCAGCGAAGAAATATAAGCAGTGTGGAATTGAGCTGGACTTTGAAGAAAAACTGGACATAATATTTAAATGGGTTGTCGCAACGGGAAAGCATGCATTCAACCATAGTGAG